GGAACTCTTGGTATATGTTTATTTTAAAGGCAGGGATTCAGGAAGTAAAGAAGCAAAATGGGGAAAGAATTGAAGATAAGTCTTTAGAGTACAGTTTTAAAAACTGCTTTGAACTTTGGGAAAGATGTTGAAGCTCCTCAAAAAAAAAAAAAAAAAAACGCCATAGTGATATGAGAGAAATATAATTCCCAACCTAATAGATGTTTGATGTATCAAGTTTCTGTCTGCTGAAATCAAAGAATGAATTTTAAGGAATAATGGGGGTTAACAACAGCAAAGATTTATTGAGAGATAGGTCCTGAGAGACAGGAGGGGACCTAAAAGTCAGTTGCCACCAAGACTCTTCGTTAGGGCTGGTTTACATAGCAAAGTCATGATGTGGGTACAACACGGGTCAAACTATAATCAGCCTATAGGATTGCAAGTACAGCTGCTTAGCTAGGATTGATCCAGTGGGGACACCAGTCACATAGCAAGGGTACCTGGAAATAACAAAGGCATTTTGTGGAAGGGATAGGTTCAGATGCTATGGTCACCCACCTGGGTGACTGATGACCATGTGAAAGTTACTGGACTAGGTGATATCACTCACAGTACAATCTCAAGTTATTGTTTATCCCTTAGGAAGGCATGTAGGCAAAGCTATTGTATCTTTATCTTGAGGCCTGGCCTTTAATGAATGTGCCTTCAGTCACAGATTTGGTTGTTCTCATCCTTTGCACTGCTTCCCTCAAGGGCCTGTTGCTGTCTGACTGCCTTTTCTTTCTTTCTTTCTTTTTTTTTAAGACACGGTCTCATTCTGTAATTCAGGGCTTGAACTCATTATGTAGGCTGGGCCAGCCTCAAACTCTTAGTGATCCTCATGCCTCAGGCTCCTAAGTGCTGGGATTATAGGCATGTGCCACCACTCCTAGCTATCTGATTACCTATTAATTTATATCTAATTTAGCTGCCTATAATAATAAAATGTCAATATAAAGTTCAAAACAAAGAAAGGCAACATGAAAACCATCTTTAGTGTTGGGATTTTCTACTTACCTGTTGGACATAATCTCCTATTAGACCTGCATTCATTAACATGTGCTTAGTTCTCCCTCTACTGGTGGCTTCTTTGTTGTTTGTTTGTTTGTTTTATTTTAAAGAAAAGAAAAACAATGGTTTAAAATTTCAAAAAAAGATTGGAGAGTAACAATGACTAGTACATTGTGTTAACTTCAAAGTAGTTGCTCATATTATAGGATAAAGGCATGAAAAATTGATCAAACAATATAGACATATATATCTTTCTTTTCAGGGAGCTAATAGCAATTAGTAGTATAACATCTTAACTATCCTGTATGTGTGTGTGTGTGTGTGTGTGTGTGTGTGTGTGTATATATATATATATATATATATATATATTCCTTTCTTATGGTTTATTTCAACAGTTGACTGTATTCCTAATTTCAAGTGCCTCTAAATTATTCAGTATCTAGAATTAGTTTTGAAACCTGTCAGGCTTCTTTAGGATAGTTCTTGACACCAGCTAGTGGACACTGTATGCTCAGCGTAGTAAAAGTCTGGTCATTCTGTCAAGATGAATTTTCACTGAGCTCACTAAAAACACTGAAGTAACCAAAAGAGAATTTCCACAGAGCACCACCATCACACTCCACTCCCGACCACTGCTCTACCTTCTGGCCTGTTAACAGCTGACCTGTCCATGTGCCCACCAAAAGCAAAGCCCTTCTCTTTCCAAAACATTCCCCCCCCCAACAGAAAGAGTAGGTAAAACACATTTTCTTAATTCATCAAACTTTCACTCTTCTCTGGCTTACTCCTATTGGCAGGCAAACTTGCTATCATTCCATGTAAAGGAATGCTATACACACTCTTTTCAGCTACCACTCCATTTCTCTTCACTTCTTTATGACAAACATTCTCAAGAGTTGTCTAGTCATGCTGTCTTCATCCTTTCCTCTTTCACAACCCTACTCCAGTCAAGCTTTCAACCCTTATCTTTCCACACAACTGTTTTTTCAGACTTCAGTGATCCTAGTCAATCCATCCCTCATTGGCCTTGAGCCCTCAGCAGATGAGGGCCTTTGGCCCAGATGATGGCTCCCTTCTCCTTCTCATCATCCCTCCTTCACTTGTCTCCAGGCCACCACAGTCTACCTCATTTGTCTGCATTGCTGGTCACTCCTCTTCTTCCCTAACTTGTTAATAGTAGAATACCCCAAGGTTTAGGATTTAGTCTCATCTCTTTCCATATTTGTCCCATTGTATTGTTTTCAGTTTGACCCACACATACAGCTCTTGACCGGTATCTTCAGCTGCAACCTCCTCCATGTCTCACTAGTTACTCATTAGGTATCTCAGATACAATAGGTACCAACCTAACTCCCCAAAGTTCCCTCAAAACCCCATTCCTTTGAGTCTTCTCTATTTCAGCTAATGACAACTATTTCATTCCAGTCCACTGGTTCAAAATCTTTGTTCTCACACTTGATATTTAAGTCATTAGAATATATTCATAATCTCAACCCTTCTCACCATTTCCACTGCTTTTCTACTTTAACTGGAGTCACAGTAATACCTTACCTCATTCCACAGTTCCCAAGCTTTGGCCTAAAAACCACTGACTGCTTCCTATCCCTTGATATTCGATTTAATGGGAACTTCCACTTTTTTTCCAGAGGATTCTAATTTGCAAATCATTAGATTTACTGCCAATAAAGACACACTTTTAAGTCAGACCATATAAATTCTCTGTTTAAAACTATAATGGTGTCATGCAGTGTGCCCCTGAGAAGGCAGTGTGTGAAGTCCAAGGTGCAGTGAAGAGGCCACAAGTTTGGAGAAGCCCGGAAAGTGGATCATCTGAGGAAAGCTGCAAGGAGTGAGCAGAGCCAGCCATAGGAAGAAGCCAAGGGAGCCTCAACCACCAGAAGTGCCACAGGGGTGCTGCTACTCAAGCCCTTTGAGATCCTATCTTGCTACAGATTGCCTCAAATGCTGCATTGGAACTACAGGACTGAATACTTTCCCAGATAGATTTTAGACTTGTTTTGGTCCCATTTCTTCGTATCCTTGTTTGTAATTTTTGGAATGGAAATTTTTGCCTTGCATCATTGCTGTTGGAAATGTTTAACGCTTTCATTTGTGCAAGGGCTCACAGCTAACAGTTCACCTTAAATTACAGAGGAGGCTGTGGACTTGGACTTTTCATCAGTGCTGAAACTGTTAGGACTTTGACAACTTTTAGAGATGGACTACATGCCCTTTGTGTAAAGGAATACACATGAGTATTTGGGAGGCCAGGGGTGGAATATTGTGGTTTGTAATTGGATGTCCCCCCAAAGCCTCATGCAGTTTTAAATGGGGTTTTGTTGGAAGTGGTTGAATCTAGAGTATGTGATTAATTTGTGGGGCAATGCTGAGATTAAGGCTGCTGGGGTGAAGGCTGGGTGATTGCTAGATCAGACCACTGATTGGATTGGTACTGCACTAATCCCAGTAGATTAGAAACAATATAAGGGACAGAAAGAGAAAACAAACAAACAACAACAAAAAACACCCCATGGATCCCAATCTCATAGTAAAAGCCCAAGGCTTTTCAATGACCTACAAGGTCTCATATGAGCTGCATGGTCCTTACTGCCAACCTATCATTTCTCTGACCTCTACTGTAGTTCATCTCAATCACAGCTCCATTGACACTGGCCTTATATGAATACACCAGGCATCCTCTTATTCTAGGACCACTGCACTACCTGTTCCCTCTACCTGAGATACTCTCTCCAGTAATCTTCATATGGCGTATTAGTTCAAATGTTATACTCCCAATAATCTCAAAAAGGCCTACTTTAGCACTTATTTAAAATGACAATTTTACCACCCACTCATCAATCTCTCTTTTTCTCTCCCTCTCTCTGCTGAGGTTTATGATGGTGCTTTTATATTAAAAAAAAAAAAAAAAGCTTGGAAGAGCAAATTTGGAGGAAAAGACACCTGTTTCAGATATATTAAGATTGAAATGTGTATTAGATATCCGAATCTAACATGTCAAATAGAGAAGTTGGGATTGGATTATAAACCCAGGGGTGGAAAGACGGTATTTAAAGTCATGGAAATCTGTGGGTCATCTAGGGAGACATCCATAGTTTTCATAATGGTTAAGATGGATCATACATTGTATGTAATAAAAACAATGAATTTAAAGGTTTTTTTAAAAAAAAATGCTACAGTAAAAGATATATTGCCATCAATCTCCCTCAGCATATTCTCTTACATCAAACACACCTATCCATGCTACTTGCTGAAGCAGTTCTGTAAGGCCTTTTTCATGAGAGGACTTGTGCTCTCGATATCCTTGACATCCTGAATCCACTGAAAACATTTACCTTTCACACTTATTTTGTCTTTGGGGATAGCATATGATGCCAGATAAAGTGACTAGGGCAGATGAGAGCACACCACTGTTTTTACCAGCCTGCCTTTCTGTGGGATGACGCCTGGCAGGAACATTTAGGGCATTTTTTTCATGGCACTTGGTAAAGACACTCATGAAAGAGGACTTCCAGAACTGCTTCAGAAAACCGCAAGAAGATGGTATACGCGTGGCAATGTCGTTCTGTGTAGTAAATCTTTCAAAAATTTAAACATTCACCGTGTTTGTGATCAGCCTTCGTCTATCTGTCATGGTGACCTGGTCACAAACTGCTGCTCCTCAGTTACCTAACTCGGCCTGGTCTCCTCTAGGCTCTGGACGGAAACCCCTCCTCGGGCGCTCGTCCCCTGCGCTCCCGCTCCCGCCCAGCCTTCCCGGAAGTGACGCGCCCGGGCTCGGGCCCGCTTTCACCCAGCGCCCGCCCCACGCCGTCACTCAGCTTGCCAACGCAGCCCCTCCCGCCCCGCCTCCTTCTGCCGCCCGCAAAGCAGCCTCCGGGGGCGTGGCGAGGCGCGACCACTTTACGATACAGTGGCCGCCCTTTTACGACAGGCCGGAGTTGCTTGGTGGCTGCGAGCTTGCTCCTGGATGTGAGGTGTAGTTTCGTGCTGGTGTGCGCTCCGAAGGCGGCGTTGAGATGAGGCAGAAGAAGAAAGGTGCAGAAAGGGAGGGCGAGGGTAAAACGGGGGTGGTCGCTGCGGCGGTCTGATACCGAGCCCGGCTTCTCCTGCGGGAATCTGCTGCCCGAACCTTCCGCCGCAACACCTGGGGCTGCTAGGTCCGCCTGTGACGGCCCCTCGCCCGCTTGTTCTATTCACTGTGTATTTAATCCCAATCTACCCTTACTCTTTCCCTCTTCAGCTGTCGCTCGGTGACTTCCATAAACGGCAGGGCCAGCTATTACAAGGTGCGCTCTCTGAGGAGCAAACGCGATTTAATGCTTTCTCAGACTCGACTTCGCGACACACTTCACGTGTTTGCGACTTTATTTTAAAGCTTTCAGATTAAAAATATGAAAAGTCCTGAATTATCCACGGAGTCTGTGGAGCAGTCTTGCATGCATTTATTGCCCCGCAGCATGCAGCAGTTCACCCTACTTTTTAAAAAAGGGGTACAGTTACATCTTCATTGCAGTTAAAGCAGGGTGCAGGGAGGTGTCGGATGTTCTGTAAGTTCTGTTTTCCCAGTGCCTTTGCTTGAGCAGTTGGTCTAACAGTGCTGGTGATTATCATAGTGACTAATGCTATCTGTGGAGCCTTTACCAGTCGTTCTGAAGGCAGTGTCATCTGCACTTTATAACACGAAGAGGGGGAGATTCAGAGTTAAGTAACTTTCCGACCCCAAAATTACACTTAGGAGGTGTGCAGCTGGCCGGTCAGGCTACATCCGTGACCCCCGAAATGTAAGGGAGTGTGTGCCCATCACCGTGCCTCTTAGCATGAGCTGCTATTTCTCTTTCAAGCGGCCGCTCCAGATGTCATCTCTTGTTTCATCCATCAGCCTCTGCCTCTCCTCAGTTGATTCGTCCTTGTCTCTCACTTGCTCCTTCCAGTCAGGCCAGACAGCCTTGCTCTTAATCTCATGTGTCACCAAGTGCTGTTGGTTCTTTTTTTAAACTTTGAAACGTTTATTTTTCGGGATAACATTTTTTTAAGATTATTGGAAATGTTTTAAAAGAATAAAACACAATGAAAATAATGCAGAATTTCAAAACAAGATGATAGGAAATTACAATGATTGTTATATTGCGTATGGTTTTCCTCAAAGTAGTTGAGATTACCAGTTATAGGCAGGAGAAATTGTTCCAACAATTATGCATTAACTGTTCCTTTTTTTTTTTTTTTTTGAGATAGGAAGTGAACTCAGGGCCTCGCCCTTACCAGGCAGGTGCTGTGCCCCTAAGCTACATCCCTTGCCCCAACTGTGCCTTCGTAGTACAATTTATCTTAGCTGTCTTAAAAAGTGTGTATATAAGTGTATCCTTTTCACCTTCCTTGTACCGATAACTTCACTTTATTTAAATGTGGCTATCACATTTTTATTTCTAAAGTTGAGAATTACACTCCTCTTCTTGTTTTTGCATTCCATCTAAATGCCTTTCCTCCCACCCCAAGGGTGCTCTGAGCTGGTACCAGTCCAGGCGTGGTAGCGCACGCCTGTAATCCCGGCGCTGGGGAGGCTGAAAACAGGAGGATCACTACAAGTCAGAGCTGTGGAGGGAGACCCTGTACCAAATACATAAATGGGGGGGGGAAAAAAGCCTTTCCTGTGAAGGGTGTACTCTGTACAACTCTGTAGAGCCTGTCCATGAATCCTGTTGAGAAGCCTATATTCTAGTTAGGCAGTGCCCCTCTGCACAATGATAAGTAGTTTTTCTATCTGGTATGATTTTTTCAGGATTGTCTTCCTGCCCTTTCTTTAAGACTCCTGTGCCATTTCCTCTACGAAGCTTTTGTCTTATTAATTCACTCCTCCATTTAACATAAGCAGTTTTCAACTCTTACTCGTTTCCAGCTGAAGCTCCTTTTACCCTCCAGATAAATTCTTACATGGCTTAAATACACTCTTGTGCATAACAAAATGAAAGAACTGCTGTGGTTGCAATGGGAAAGCCAGGCCCCTCCCCTTTTCTCTTCCACCTCTGCAACCTCCTTCCCTGTCACATGCCCCCAAGGCACCTTTGTAGAATTCTTAGGTGCTGAGTCTTGTAGTTTGGAATGCATTGAGCTTTCAATTGTAGACTTTTGGGACTTTTTCTCCAGAATTTGTGTGTGTGTGTGTGTGTGTGTGTGTGTGTGTGTTTGTTTGTGTGTGTGCGTGCGCGCATGTGCGCATGCTCCTTGCCTCATTAAATTAGAGGCAGTGTGCTGCCATGAAAAAGTATGAAAGTTACAAGGAAAATACTTGGATTTGCATCTTGACTGCACCGTTTAGAGCGTGTCTTGCTGTTAACCTCACTTTCTGCATCTGTGAAGTGGGCAACAGTACCTACTTTACAGGGTTATTCTGAGGTCCCAAGGGAAATTAAAGTAAGTGGATGAGCTCCACAAATGCCAGTGCTTTCTCATCCGTACTTCTGTGTGATGGCTGCATTTTGCACACGAGTTTTCTGTGAAGGCAGGGAGCAACCCTCCTGGCAGCCCCCATGCTGCTACCCTCTGGAAAAGCGCTCTTGATTGACCTGATGTGGAGAAGTGACCATCCTGGAACCAGTGGACGGTGGTGGAGAGGATGAGGTCATGCAGTAGCTTCTGCTGTGGCCTTTGGATGAGGGGGAAGCTCCAGTTGCCAGAAGAATGTCGTGATAGTGGGCTGACAGTTTTAGGTACGCATCGAGATCCTTAGACAGCACAGATCCTGTAGCTCTGATTTGCTTAACTACTGTAGTTGCCTGGTTTGAGTTCCAGCTTCACTCCTTGATAACCTCTTTATGGAACAGCCAAATCTGTCTGCTTCACTCTGTCCTGAGGATCTGCTGAGTTGATGACTCTAAATGGTCTCTGTGAACTTGAAAGCAGCAAGAATTAGTAATTGCTAATCTGGAGATAAAGATGAGCTATTACTTTGGTATTTCAATGTGCACGCAGGTTCTTTTCATCTCATATGTTTCCGCATTGTTCTCCTATCTGTAATAGTCTATTTTCTGAAGGGACTGTTCCCCACAGATAGGTGAAACCAGGTATTATGGTTTGGATCTAGACTGTCCCTCAGAAGCGTCATGTGGTCTGAGGTGAGGCCTTTTGGAAGGTGACTGGATGCGGGAGTGTTATGCTCATCCGTGGATTCGTTGATTTGTTCACAGCAGACTGTGCTGTTTGGAGGAGTGGCCTGGTCAGAAGAGGTGGTGCCCCAGGGGTGTGAGCTGCAGGGGTCTCTCTTCCTCTTGCGTCCTCACTTCCCTCTCTACTTCCCAGGTGTTGTGGATTAAGTACCTTTTCTTCTGCCAGGCCCCTCTGTCACCCTGTCTCTACCTTGGAGCCTTCTGACCATGGACTGAAAACTTGAGCCAAAATAACCTCCCCTCTAAGTTGTAGGTATCAGGTCTTATGTTTCAGAGACAGAAGAGAGACTAAGGCAACAGGCTTGTTTTAAAGTTGTGGTCAGATTGTAAATGATAGATTTAGTGTCTTAGAAACTTGAGCTACCCATTTGGCATATTTGGAATGATTTTGGAATGAAAACTGCTACTAAATAAGATCTCTAAATCTGTACTGAAGAATGTGACTTCTCAGTATTGTTCAATAATATAGTTTCAGGAAACCTCAGCCTTATTGATTTTTGATGTTGAATGTTATCTTTCCAGGAGATCTCAGCCCTGCTGAGCTAATGATGCTGACTATAGGAGATGTTATTAAACAACTGATCGAAGCCCACGAGCAAGGGAAAGACATTGATCTCAATAAGTAAGTAAATCTATAAAAGGAGGGCAATCTTGTTCTTCGATAGTAGATGTCTTTTAGGAAATAATTTAATGCCACTCTTTGTCTTGTGTTTTGTTTTTTAATTGAGAATTAACAGCTTTCTCTTCGTTCTATCACTTGTTTCATTGTGTCCAAATTGTGTGAATAACGGCATGCAACACTGCTACCCTTTTAATGTTTATTGAGCCCTTACTGTATTCCAGGCACTATTATTAATGCTTCACATGTAATAGCTTAATTAATCCTCTCAAAAACTGTATGAACCTTCCCAGCTGGTGCACTAAGTTGGCCACCGAGTCCGGGTAGTGTGGTGCACACCTGTAATCCCAGCTTTGGGAAGGCTGAAAACAGGATCACTAGAAGTCCAAGCTGCATGGTGAGACCCTGTGCCTGGTACATACATACATACATACTAAGGAAGGAAAAAGGAAAGGAAAGAAGAGAAAAGAGAGGGAGGGAAAACAAAAGAAAAGACAAGACTGTATGAAGTAGGTACAGGGCCCCTTGGCATCACAGAAGGGTATTTCGAAACATAGAGAAGTGAAATAATCTGTTCAGGGGTAGGTAATAATGACCAGAGTTGGGATGTAGAATTAGTCATCTGCCTGCGAGCGCATGTTCTTCTCGTCTATGCTGTGTCCTACTTCAAGTCCTGTTTCTCTTTCCTCAGTGGAAACGGTAGTTCTTCTCTTCGTAACAGCTCTGCTTTTGGGATCCTTGATCTGTTCCAGTGTCTCTCTGCTTAAGAAGCTCTTTGACAAGCTCACCTACTTCCTCTCCATCATCACTTTCAGCTTGGTCTTTGCTGTGACTTCAAATGAGAATGATTTCTTTATGTTTGCATCTGTGTTTTTAAATACATATTCATTCACTTGTATAGGTCAGCCCTAATGAATGGGTTCTCCCTACAACCCCAGGTCGTCTAATCACTCCAAAAAAAACAAAAAAAAAAACCTTTAATTTCTAGTCAGCATTTCTACTTCTTACCTATTTTTGTCCTTCTCCTAATTGAAACCATCTAAAGCTAACACTTTGAAACTAGCCCCTGCTCACATACCTCCAGTGGTAAGCCCTTTTGGGCTGGATCTAATATGCTTTTCCTACTTTTTTTTTTGCAGAACCAGGAATTGAACTCAGGCCCTTGCGCTTGCTAGGCAAGCACTTATTCTACTGAGCTATCTTCCCGGCCCCCACTTTTCCCACTTTTTAAACCTCTCTTTGGTCTCTTTCTGTCTTTACGCCACAAGTGTCCAGTTTCCTGTGCAGGATATGCTCCTGCGCTTGCATCTTGCCTCTCCGCCTGCCGTGTCTCCTCTGTGTCTGCCCTGCCTCTCTGAGACCCAGCCTTTCTCCTGGGCCCATTCACCCTGTCTCGTCAGCACACACTGAACCCTGTGAACCCTGGAAGCCTTTATTGGCTTGTGTGTGGGTAGATGGGTAGGTTTTATCACGATATGGACCACGAAAGGCCTGTGCCTCCTGCCTTCTAACATGCCAAGACCCTGGCTGGTCTTTTGTGCATGTAGATAACCGTTAAATATTCGTCGAGCATATGAGGACTGCACAGCACTGCACATTTCTCCATGGGACTCCATATGAGCACTGCACATTTCTAGATGGATTAAAATTAGAAGACAGGATAACTTTTAGGATTTAGCTAGCAGCAGAAAGGGAAAAAATGCTGGTAAAGTTGTAGGGAAAAGCAAAGGAAGCATTAGGGTTGAGGTTACTTCTGAAGGGTTAGGATAGGAGTACAATCAGGAAGAGATACATAGAAGTTTTCTTCGTAATTATTGAAGTATATTTATATGGCTTCTGTTCTGGTTTTTAATATTCTAAGAAACTAGTTCTTAACCAGGGTGCTTTTAGCCTCAAGATTTTTGGCAGTATCTAGAGATATTTTTGATTGTTACGCCAGAAAGAAGGGTACTAGTGGGGAGAGGCCAAAGAGACCCAGGGAGCCGTTGAACACCCCACTGTGCACCGGGGCCTCCCACGCAGAGAATGGGCTGTCCCACAGGTCAGCCGTCCTGAGGCTGAGCACTCTTTTGAACCAGACCCACACTGTTATCATCCCAGGTCCCTCCTCTGTAGTTCTCTGACTTTCTTGCTAGTGCTTAAGGGTGAGAAGAGGAATAATGTTATGAATGTTGTCTTGCTGCTGGTGTCACCTGATAAACAGGTAGGAGAGTGACAGGAGATCGTGTCATTTACACATCATCCCATTGGTGTTTGTACCTGAAATACTGTAATGCTGGATGCTTTCTTTTTAGGGTGAAAACCAAGACAGCTGCCAAATACGGCCTTTCAGCGCAGCCCCGCCTGGTGGATATCATTGCGGCAGTCCCTCCTCAGTATCGGAAGGTCTTGGTCCCCAAGTTAAAGGCAAAACCTATCAGAACTGCCAGTGGGGTAAGTGATGCAACTCATGGAGTATTGGTACAGTACGAGGTGGATGTGAGGGGCTCTGATTCATGAGCTCGTCTATTGCACGTATGCAGAATGTTCAGAAGGCAGAGTGAGGAAGCCAGTTAGCTGTGCATAGAGGAATGGGTGATGTCTTGGAACCTTTCAGCAAAAGACTAGGTTTGGTGACTCACAATATAATAAATGTTACCGGCTCTCACTGTCATTGGTGCTTAGAAAAAGTACTGTTAAGGGATAGATTAGTGGTGCAAAGTGTTCTACAGATGGTAACTGAAATAATTGACAGTAGAGACACCCATGGGATTCCAGAGGACAAAAATGTCCTTGCAGCTAGGGAAGTCCCAGTCGGAGACGTGATGCTTGCTCGCTCACTCTGTAAGCAGCACTCAGGTCAGCAGCAAGAGCAGACTGGAAGGGACATGGGGGTGAGGGCGCGGGGCACTAAGGCACAGACAGACTGACGTGAGGGCGTGGCGTGTGCAGGGTCAGTGAGCACACTTGACAGGCAGCACTTGACAGTTCTTCCAGGAAAGCGGAAAACATTAGTTTTGAATCAGCTTGTAAAAGAACTTACATGCCCAGCAAAAAGGTTAGATAATGGGAGACATAAAGGTTTCTGAGAAAAGGAGTGGGCGAGGAGTAGAAAGAACTAAAATGTGTCATGTACACATGCCAGCTCCCCACGAGGAATGTGATCGTTGTGTACTGCCGACATCTATTAAGACATAAAAACATTGTTCAGAAGAAAATCCTGATACAGCATGTGGGGTAGTCTGAAACACCAGTTTGGACTCTGTTGATCTAATCTTCATGAGAAGGGCCTGAATTAGGGTGAAACCTGTAGGGAAACAAAGACTGAGTATGAGAGACACAAAGGGAAAAATGCCAGGGTTGGGAGGTTCTTCAAAAGTGAACTGGAGGGGAGATGGCCCAGTGGAATAAGTGCTTCCCTGGCAAGCACAAGGGTCTGAGTTCAATCCCCGGTTCCACAAAAACAAAAACAGAAGTGAACTGCAGAGTCAAGTTCTGGGTCCCTGATGTGATTGCTCTTAGATGCCCAGCCTGCTGTT